AGAGGGAGAGAAGAAGAAGAGGAAAAGGAAGGAAAAGAAGTAGAAGCAGGAGGAAAGAAGGAGAAGAAGAAAACCCCTGTGCTGACACCATCCCCTGTCGTTCTTGGGACGCTGGAAGAACAGATCATCTCTCTCTTCAAGGATTGTGCTACGGACTGTGCCTGTCAGCTTTGCAGCCTGAGTACCGTGGACTAGGTGAGATCCCAGCGTTCTCTGTCTTCTTTCTAGGCATAAACTTCTGAACCTGAACTGTATCAGTTAAGCTTGAGCTAAGTTTCCCCAAATACTTAGTGAAACCAGGGTAGTATTGTCATTGTTGGTGTTTGTTTTTCTTTTGCATGTCTATTACTACTAGTACTATTATATATTTCATATGCTTAGCAATAAATAACTTTTATAGTCAAACTGGTAGTAATTGGGTATATTTTTCCTTCTCTGCTTCTCTTTCCTCCCGTGCTCTGCAGCAACGCTTCTTTTACCTATGCTAAAGATCCCTGTGAAGCCCAAATTATTGTGGGGTCTGCTCATCAAGAGGCCAAAGATTGGGACGTGCTGAGTTTGAAACACATAAGGGGATCAGCTTGTACAGGCTGATTGACCCAGTTTGACTCAGACGTGCCCTTATGAACTGAATGCTGGCCCATGAGGGTGTCAGCTGGACACCCAGCCGGATTCAGAGGGATTCTGTTTACCTGTGTGCTTGTGTCTGACTGCATTTTATTGTTGCTCTTATGAACTGATTCTTGGCATATGAGGGTGTCAGCCTGTCCATGCTGATCAGCCCGGCCAGGTCAGGCGTGTCACGTTAATTTGTGTGTGTCTGTGTGTATGACTGATTTGGTGACTGGAGGAACCCAGTCCCATTGAGATTGAGTCCTGCAAGATAGCTCCATTGGGGGTGAGGGCTTGCAGAAGGGAGAAATACAGCTCCGTATAGTAACACAAGCAGCACATTGACAGAATCACCAAGACCCTAGAAACTATCCCTAATAAATGAGCACACCCCAAAGTAATGGGCAGATTTGGTAACAGGGGGCATGTTACAGGGCAAAGGTCTGACCAGAGTTACCCCTGTGGTCTACTATTCTTGATGATTAGACAATTCTCTCAATCAGATGTGCTAAGACTGCTGCTTTTGAACTTATATAGTTTAAATAGGCCTTTGGGCTGCTCTGGCTTCTGCTAGGGACCAAACTAGTCTAAAATCTGAGTGGGGAGGGAGGGAGAGGGGAGTGGGGAGCAGACAAAACTCTGAATCAAGGTGAATAACAATCCAAGCCTAGTGACATGATGGGCCTAATCCTGATTGTAGAAGCACAGCTGGACTCACACAAGGTTATGAAATTGCAAGAGCTTGTGGCCTCGCCGAGTAATTTGGGCTGGAAAGGAGGCATGTGAGAAGGGAAAATATAGCTGGCACAGAAATATCATGGTAATAGGTGACAGGAAATGAAAGAGTGGACAGCCTGAAGTTAGTTCTCAAACTTTTTAGACACAAGCACCCTCCCTTACTTCCCATGAGACGAGACTCAAGGCACTGCTCCAGAAGTGCCATCTCTTAGCCTTTGCCTGTTTTTTTTACTTTAAAAAAACCCACAGCAGAACAATCCTTCTGTTGCCAAGAACTCAGAAAGACCACAACAGGTCAAAATGACCTTGGCAGTCTGGATTCCTATTTGAAATCTCTGGGTCTATCTTGTGAATCATGTGTGTAGGTGTTTGCACACTTAACAGTGCTAACATCATGCAGCACTCCACAGCCCCTGTAAAAGAATTGCATGGCACCCTGGGATGCTGTGGCACCTTGGTTGAGAATTACCACCTGAAGCTATCGCTAAAGCTCAAAGGCATATAAAAATATAATTTTTCTGAAGAATCAAACCCAAACACATGCACATATATCTTGATCTGAAATATCAAAAGTCCCAGGACATTCTATGCCAATCTCCCCATTATGGCGTGTCCCTCTCTCTGATACAGAGAGAAACTGGGACAGCCTGGCACAGACACACTGGCATTTGTTGTGAGACTGTCAGGATTACTGGCTGAGCTAAAAGCTGGCAAGGGCTCCCAAGCAGACCAGTTCAGCCCTGCTAAGCACAAATGTATTTCTTGTGTGGATTACTTAATACCAACTAAACCAGAGTCCAAACTAAGAGAGACAATAGATCTGTCACAGCCAGCCACTCTGAGCAGGAAAAGAAAAGACAGAGAATGACCTTTTGTTCCCATGAGACAATTATTAGTTTTCTGTGGCAGAATGTAACAAAGAAAACCCACCCGATTTCTGCGTGTAACTTCTGATGGAGAAAAAGACACAAAGGGAGAGCTCTTTAGCATAGTGAGTAATTGTGCTTAGTGCCAAAATGAACTGCTAAGACCCAGGAACCAAATACTGCCCACTACAGAGCCAAGTGCAAGGGCCAGCACCAAGTGCATCTGAACTAAGAAAGGGCTCAGCATGCTCTGTGGCAGCAATTTTCTCTGCTTCCTCATTTTTGTCCTCGCTCCCACTCTACTTCCCATGAGGTCTCTCAGGTTACCAAGCGAGTACGAGTACGTCAGTCTGCATTGCTCACTGCCCGTTTCTCCCCCTCCAGCTCTCCACTTCACAAGGACAAAGGCACAGAGAGGGGACAATCGGACCAGCAGCAGTTTGCAAAGCTGAAGGACTGTCTGAGACACAGCTGAAGAGTCCCTTCTTTGTTACTCTGAAAGCAAAAGGCCATTAATTGTTATTTCACTCACTGCACTTGCCACTGCAGCTGGGATACTTAAAGAAATGCTGCCACGCTCCAAACGTATTTGAGGAGGGAGAGAGAATTAGATTTCTAGCGCTGGTTACCAAATAAAAAAACTGCAAAACACTTAAAAGTGTTGCAGTTTGACATATTGAAGGGAAGGGAGAGTTTTTGTTGTTGTTATTGTTGGGGGGTTTTTGTGAATTAAAAAAAAATTGAGAGGAGAAAAATAAAAAGTGCCAGTGGAAAATTGTTTTGATGGTTGACGAACCAAAAACAAATTGTTTTCATTTTGATTTGGAGAGAGTGGGATCAGATTCCTCTCTTTTCCAGTGGGTGAGGGGTAAATTAAAAAACAAGAGAGAGAATGTTTGTTTTTAACAATTTGATAAAAAAAAATTGGAAAGCTTCAGGGGAAAAATAAAATCCCGTTTTTTGACCATCCCAGGGATTCCTCCTTTGTTCCAAAAATATTTAGAAGGCCCATGAAAAAACAGGTTTCCCTCGCTTTATGCAGGTTCTGTATGTGCAAATTTGCTCTTATGCGATGACCTTTTTTATACCAAAAATTTGTTACACGCGAAGTAAATTCACTCTTATGCAATCGGTGTGGTGGAAGCCCGCAGTCAGCTGCTCTGTGGGAGTGGCATGCACCAAAATATAGTCTCCCATGTGGATCTGTGTGCCTTGCTAGTTGTCTGCAACACGTGTTTCTGTAGTTGTCATCCCCATTATGGTAACATTCACCACCACCCTGTGCCTGTGTGTACCGTCTGCTGTTGGTGAGTACCAAAATTGTCTTGTAAAAGTAGTAGAAATGGGCCTGAGGGTCAGTACACTCATGGTCTTGGAACGTATCCCTATTTGTTACATTGTGTTTCCTTTGTGTAAATTCGAGTTATGCGTCATTTTCCAGGAATGCATGTACAGCATAAAGCAAGGGAAACCTGTATTATAATAGGATATGACAACAACAGTCATGCTACAATAAACATGTTCTTTGCATATGACAGAATAAAAGGAAAGACAGTTCTCTGAATGTGGCAACCCACCTTAGACAGGGAAGGCAATAGTACCGGTGGTGTCGGGAACAGCTGGAATACTTCTTCACAAGGACCCCAAAGGCAATTTAAACACAAGCAAGAGGCTCTGCACCCAGCATTGTCCAAGAGAAAGGAGAAAACCTACCACTCTCAGCAAGTTTCGCCGCTCTTTGAAGGTGGCACAGCAACCAAGGATACCAGTAACCATGACAACAACTCCAGCCACTACCAGGATGTAGGCGGTGGCCATGTACGTGTTGGAGGACAGCAGGCTGATGTAGTCACTCTTTTCTGCCAGGGTCCAGATTCCCACTGCCATCACGGCACCGCCTGCCAGCTTCACAAAAAGGAGGCAAGCAGGTGAGATGCATCTGAGGTAGGAGCTTCCTCCTTCTCAAGAACATGCAATAGACCTCACCTCGCTGAGATTCACTAAGGGCTTATTTAAGTCAACATAAAGGCTCCTGGCACAGTTCAAGCAGCGTTGGACCAGGTCCTAAATGAGCAGACTCTTTCTCTCTTCCCCAGGTCCCGGGTAGGGAAGCCAACAGAGTCTGAGCTTAATGTTCAAACTGGAAAAGGATGTCCCTATCTGGGGAATCTGTCTGCCACGTATGCATTGTGTTACACCTTTCCAAACTTAACCTGGCTTTTGCATGGGGACTCAAAAAACCATCCAGCTAAGCAGGGTATGAAGCAGCAGAGCTTTGCACCCCTGCTGGCTGATCAAGGAGCAATCCCGACTACTTCTAAATGGCCATGGTACCTAGTTCCTTCCCTCCTGGACCAGGCAACAGTGGAAAAATGAAAGATCATCAGAAGTGGGAATTCAGACTGGACATGAGCACAGAAATATGACAATACAGGAATTAACTTCAGCCACTTCATTCCTTTGTATGGACGCTCAAATTGTTTGTTCCACACAACAAACATTTATAGATTACCTCTAGGTCAATGTCCTGGCCAACAATTAACTCAAGAAGGAAAACTTTAGTTTAGAAACAGTCACAAGGAGTACCCCCATGGGTAGCCTAGCCATCTTCATTCTACTATCAGCATTTGAGATGCCCTCCTATTGGTGTGACAGAGCTCCTTGGCCACAGGTGCTCCTGGAGAAGATGTATAGTCTTCTAGAGAAGAAGAACAGTCGCTTGCTCAACTGGGTGAGCAGTAGCTTTGCAGGCCACTGCATTGTCCATACCCAATAGTTTCAGGGCCTACTGCTGGCCAGATAGGTTACAATCTTTCCCCTAACTTCACCATGATACGTCTAGTCAGATACGTATGGTGAAACCCTGGCCTCACTGAAGTCAGCAAGTGTTTTGCTAGTGATGTTGCTGGAGCTAGGAATTCCCACGTGCTATATATCTTGCTACCACCACTGAAACAATGGAGGCACCCAGTAGAGTATGAGGCACTCAAGTGGATAGACAGAGTGAACAGGCATCTTACCCAGAAGAAGAAGTTGAAGATGAAGAGCAAATACTTGAGACAGATGGTCCCACATGTCTCCTTCTTCTCAGTGTACTCACGCATCTTCCTGGTTTAGCAGGTCCCTGAAATAGCAACAAAAGGTATTTTGAAAGACTGGTAGTTTTCCCCTGCTTCTCCCTCATGCAGTATCAACATCTGCCTGAATACACCCATAGCTCCTAAAAGCCTCTGCAAAGGTACTCAGGAGAACTTTTACAATCTTTTCTCCAATGCCTGATGAAGGGTGTTTGTGCCAGCAAGCTTGCAATTAAAGCCTTTTTTTTTTTTTTTTTTGGCAAAAATCTTGTTGGTCTACCACAAGTCTTGATTGCTTTCTGCAAAGGTACAGCACTGACCTGCACCACTGTAGTGAATCATCAGGCTACAAATGGCCTCAAAATAGAGCTTCTTGTGCCTCTAACACTTCTGACAGGATGAGAAACAGATAGTGTAGCCATGTGATCTTACCAAGTTAGCTTTTTCCATTATCTTCTCTTTCTTCCTATCACTACTTCTTGTGACATATCTTTAGATTGGTGGTTCTTACCCTTTTTAGACTCCAGGAACCCCTTAACAGATTTGAGGGGCCCCTCAGAAAATGCTAGCCCTTAGTTTTCATTCTTTTTTTTTTACTACAGAAAAATAACAGAGCAATTCTTTTGGAAAGAACTAAGAAAAATCACAATAGATCAGAATGTTTAACACTATGGATTCCTATTTGAAATCTCTGGGTTTGTCTTATGAATCATGTTTGTACACCTAACAGTGCTAGCATTGCATGGCACCCTTGAAAGGATCTCATGGCACCCTGGTTAAGGATCACTGCTTTAGATTACACACTTTCTGGGGGACAAAACACATTTACCCCTATGGGAAAAAATGGACACAGCCTCCAACCACCCACCCCCACCCCAATTTTTTCCTATTTAAACTAAGGAAATTAAATCCTACTCCTGTTCCAAGCTGCATCTTAGATTTATATTAATCTGGACCAACTTCACTGGAATGTCAGAGAACGGAGAAACATTTCATAGACATGAAGAGGCATGTCTGATGTACCCAGGAGGATTAAAATAATCTCATCCTAGCCAGCATCTAGAGGACTTGGCCCTTCCCTAAAATCCACCACCTCCAGCAGAAACTACTGTGCCAACAAAACCAAACCACATCTACCTCTGTCCTAGTCTTCCTCTGTTTGTGTTAATCCTTCTCATAGCAATGGATAGATCAGATCAGGTAAGTCCTTTATCTTGTCCAGTTGCATTTATGGAATAACTTATCCACAGGGAAAATCCCTCCTGACCTTCATAATTGGTTGCTTTAAGCAGATGGGTTCATAAACTTTCCAAAACTCTAGGGTATTTTTTAACCCTTAATATTTTTAACCCTTAATATTACAACTCTGAATAACTGTGTTACTCATTCAAAGACCCGGTTCTTTTCTAAATCCCTGAAAAATGATATCTTAGAGCAATGAATCACAATAGCTAATTGTAGGTTCTCTTTCCAACTCTGTGCACCGACCTAGTTCTCTATAGGTCATCTAGGCCCTTTCCCTGAGCCAGCTCTGGTTCTTAGGAGTCGATCATAACCAATGCTAGGAGAGAGAGGTACATGCAAACTGGTTTCACATTATCTACTAGCTATAAAATGCCATTAAAGACACACATGAACTTGGAAGCATTTGCAAGTCAATAGTGGTCAAAGCTCCTGCATGGCATTGGAGATTAGGTATGCTCTTCACTGGGGACTCTGGGAGCTGAATCTGCCGCAGATTGTTGTTTAAAACAACTAAAAATGCACACCATTAAGTTAACCAATGATATATGTTCAGGTACTTATTTTTATTTGCATGTTTAAAAGGGTAAAGGCATTTTCAGTGTTATGCTAAGTTAGGAACCAGAGTCTTGTGATGTTTAAGCACTTGCTTTATGAGCTCAGGTAAATTCTGTACGGCTTTTAAGTTTGCAAAATATTTTAAAACTCATTTAGTAATGGTTTTCCTCTCTGTACCGACTATTGAAGATTGATGTGCACTATTATGTTTCCATTTTTAAGATTGCCAGACAGCTACCAGTTATGATGGTGTGTGCGCCTCATACTGATATTCTGGTACTTAAGTAGATTTGGGTAAGATGAAGTCCATAGAGCTCTATGTTGAAAAAAAGGGGATAGAAATAAAAGAGATTGTAAAACAGTTGAGCTGAGCTGGCTCCATTTTAACTGCTGCAGTGTTGCTACAAATCCAGGATTGGTAACACATACTCTATATCACTGATTGGTTATGGTCTTTTATAGTTCTAAACAATAAACCAATTGGGCTGTATCAGATTGGTTTTCCAGGCTTTTATTCACATAAGAAACAACTCACGGCCAACAAGGTGCAAGTCAGCCTAACTCCCCTGGGATCAACTGATGCCAACGGAGGTTCTTGCCCCGTCACAAGATTCTGATCACTATCAGTTGCCCCAAATATCACCTGGAGCATTGGTATCAGCATCCCTCCTTACTTTCCCTACCAGCTTAAGGGTCCTTCCTTCATCCCCTCACAGCAAGCAAAGAGAGGTGCTGGCAGCTCACCTTCTCTCTGTCTGGTGCAGAACATATTGCACTCTGCTCAGACCAGCAAGATTTCTCCCGAACAAAGGAACAGGGAGATGGGCAACTGAAAAGTTTCCTATGGAACCCAAGTTTGGGCTTCCCCACACCCTGGAAATTTAAACCAGTGTAACCACAAGCAAGCTGAAGTCTCTTTTGAAGACACACCATGCAAGGCTTGCCACAGACTTGGACTGAGAGTGGTTGGACCAAAAAAAAATCCCTCAGTAGAAACAGGGCCTTAAATTAGGTCCTAGCAGTCACGTGTAAGAAGTATGTGCCTGCACTGGGATCTTACTGTGTCAGACAGTAGCAGTCAACTAATGCCCGGCATAAAGGCAGCATAGCTGCATTTGCACAGAGCTAAACGCATGCTCATTAGCACTGTAGCTATAGAACTATTTTACTTACAGTCACCTAAGAGGCAATGTAAAAGCTAGAGGTGCACCGGTATATCAGTTGCCTATCAGATTAGCACCAAAAAAAAGGAAATTATATTACTGGCTATCAGCTTTTTTTTGGCCGTTGTAGTTGATAATGCTTATTGATAATTATGCCTTCTGGACAGAGCCCTGGACACCTGGGTTCCCTCCCCCTGCGGCACTGGGGCCCCCAGATGCCTGGGCTCCCTCAGGAAATGGCAGGTTTCCCCTTGCAGGCAGGCAACATTCTAGCCTGCAAGAGGTCCTGCTTGGGGCTGCCAGGAGCAGGACACGGGGCCCATGTGTATGTGCGCAGCTGCATGTATGCGCATGGCCAGGTATACAGCTGGGCAGCATGGAGAGCAACTCCGTGCAGGTAAGTCTGTGGAACGGGAAAGGGCATGGGGGAAGGAAGCAGCGGGGGGGGGGCAGATCGAGGCCCCCATGGTGAGGGAGGGAGTGGGGCAGGGTCTGGGGCGCTTCCCAGCCAGGGTGGTGCATGGGACCCAGGGCCATGGCAAGGAGTAGTACAGAGCCATGGGCGCCTTGTCCGGGGGGCGGGGGCAGCTCCCCAACAGCTGCATGCACCCTCAAAAAGAGGCATTGCAGGGGGCATGTGCCCCCACAGATTTGTGTGCAGGGTAGATGCAGACTGCTTGTTGTGGACTCAGGGCTTTCTGCTCTGCTGTCTTTCCCTCGGGAGCCCTGCACCAGCCATGCGCCCCCTGCCCACCTATCAGCAGTGGGGGTGGGGAGTTGCACCCCCCCACTGCCAGGTTGGCAGGGGGCGCATGGCCAGCACAGAGCTTCTAGGGAAAAGACAACAGGATGGAGATTCACAAGCCCACAGTGGACAACCCACATCTGCTCCCACTCAGCATTGCTCCACTTAAAAGCATCCCTGGGCTTAAAAAATGGTGGTAGCAGCACTTGAACTAAAGCTCATTCAACAAGCTTTAGTTTAAGTACCCCCACTTCCAATTTTAAGCACTGGGATGCTGATACATGTGACGCCAGAGGCTGCTAGAGTCCACCAGGAAAAAAAGATTTATTTAGGTCACTAGTTTAAAATGCCTTGCATTATTACTAAATATTGGCTAATCACATTGGCATTGGCTGATATGGTTGGTTAATAATTGGCTACTGGTATCAGCCAAGAAATCTTTATCAGTGCACCCCTAGTAAAAGCCTTTCCGCTCCACACCTTCACCCTCAGGCTGGTACGCTATGCTATACTTAGGGCTACCACTAAAATCGCCATGAAACTGGTCACCCCCTAACCCAGGTGGACCCAGCAGGGCTACCTGACCCCTGCACTGGCTGCCATTCAAGGTATTGGCTGCAGTCACCATATCTGTCAGTTAGTACATGGGACACTCAATCAATGTCCTGACTGTGTCTCTGCATCCCTCGACTGCCCCTGCAGTCTGGCTCTCTACTGGAGGCGGGTGAGGAATGGCAGTCACCCCCTCAGATATGTAACTGCATTTTATTTACAGGGAGACAATCCCCTTTGGTTCTCTCCAGCCTACCCACACCCAAATTGAGCCAGTGCTTTAAGAAACCAGTACATCAAACCCACAGGAATGCAGGGGTGGGAATGTGCTCTATCCTAGAGCTGATCCATCCAAGCCTGTGCTTCTGCCCGGTTTCACAGGAAGACGTTTTTCTTCAGATTAGGATCCGACAGCACCACACAGAATCATTTCACTTGGGAAAGGAATAGCTCCAAGATGACAATATCTATCAAGGCAACTAACCGGGAGGCTCCTGGCTTTCATACAACTCTGCTGATGCTCCGAATAAGATTAATTACTACACTGTTGAGCAAAAGCACGGGGGAGTGGATGCTGGTGGCGCCATATGTTCTGAACAGGTTTATAATGGCAGAGAGGTTCCCTGTTAATTTAATGCTCAGAGAAAGGAAGTCACAGCCCCTGCATCTTTGTTCTTGCATAAAAGCATAGCAGCAGGACAAACTCCTATGCACTGCCCTACCCACATGCCCCAGCCCAGACCTGCAAGGGTAACACCTAGGGAATGGAAACTAATACCAATAGCAC